CACTTAATCACATCTTTATTTCATAAATAATCCTTTCTATTGTAGGTTGTGACTTATCATTGATAACGCAAGTCTAAATATGACGGGTAATGATAATTCTATGTCCTAAATGAACACAACTCACTTATTTTTTGTATGTTTGGAAAACTGGGATAATAGCTTTTTATTCTTTCAAAATCATTTTGAAATAGATTTGTACTTCAATTTCCAATTTTAAGTGTACTTTTGCTGCTTCAACGGGCATTTTCTTGTGTCTTTTTTATAGGATGTTTCATTTGTGTTGGTTCATACTATTTCACTCAAAGAAAGTGCCTTCAAGTTAACCATTCATTTTATAACTGCTAAGGTCCTATCAGACAGACAAGGGTTTCTATTTCTTTCTTAATTACAATATTGATGCATGTCATGTTCCTATGAAGTATATGACCAAACTTCTGGATTTAGATTTGTTAATTTTTTTTCTTAGTAGCTTTATAAAGCATGTAATGCAGCCGATACAAAAATTGGGCAGTTTTCATCAATTTGGAAGATGTACTTTAACGAGCTGCTTGTCATGGACTAACTTTCCTCAAGTCACCCATGCGGCTTTAGCGCTCTTTCTTAGCACTAAATCAGTCTTACCCCTCACAACACTGGACTTATGAGCCCCAAGTACTCTTAAGAAGAATAAATAATAGAAAGGAATACTTTACACTTGAATACTTGAATGCTTTTTATTCAAGGTTTGGGTGATAACAAATGAGGGGAGGGGCTCCTATTTATAGCCTCCATATCTTTGGCCTTACATCTAGCCAATGTGGGACTATTTCATGTCCAAGTGAAGCTTCTTGATTTCAATGTAATATTTTATCTTCTAAACCATTCTTATGTACATACATAACTCTAGAACATTTTAGGTTATTCTTAAATTCTCTTTAAAGTTTTTCCTTCTTGCTCTCTCCGGAATGTAGTGGAATCTTCTGGAACCCCTTTGATGACTCTCGACATTCTGACCTTCTCTAGAATCTTCCATCCTGTGCTTGTCTTGTCGATTTCTCGAATATGGCGGAGCGTGACACTCTCTCTCACTTAAACCCGCAATGCCCTCATTGCGGCTTTCACTGCACCTTCGAAACTGCCTCTTTGGTTTGCCTCCATACTTGGCAACCTTTGGCTCCTCTTTGGTGCAACAACTCTTCCTGGCTGGCGGCTTATCCCTTGCCTCCACCACGTTCCTTGGCACCCCCGAACTCTTTGAGTCTTTTCTTCTTCATTGGTATGAAGGATAGCCAAGTTGTCCACCTTGTCATGTGAAATGCCATCTCTGAGCTGGATTGCCGATAGCGTTTTGGATCCTTGCTTGCTTAACCTTATTATCGGTATTGAGCAAGCTTGACCCCCTTGCGTGATGCACAGACTATTGGCAAATGGCATTGGGAATGCTCTTGCTTGCTCTAAGAAGTTCATTCCCAGGACGACTTTGTAATCATCCAAGGGAATGACAGAGAAGTCTAGATTACCTGACCATGCCCCAATGCTGGTCTTGCCACTCCATCGATTGGCATCTCTGTTGAGTTGATGACTTTGATGGAGCCCCCTCCTTTAGTCATATGCAATCCCAATCTCTTTGCTTCCTCGCTGGAGATGAAGTTGTGGGAAGCACCCGTATCTACCATTGCCCTCGTAGTCTTCCCTCCTATTGTCATCTCCACAAAGAGTAACCCCTTCCCTTGTGGTTTTGTTGGAGCTTGTATCGCGTTCAGCAGTTGAAGAGATCCCACATGTGCCTCCATGCTATTTTCCCTGTCACTTTCTTCTTCCTCCTTGTGACTTGCAAGGAGAGAATTGAGGGCCTTCTTCTTAGGGCAGTCCCTTGCCCAATGAGGTCCTTCGAAAAGAAAGCAGCGGTTTTGATATGGCTTGTTGTTAGTCTTCCCCTTGTCCCTTGCCTTTGTTGGTATTGGTTCGCGACGTGTGTCCTCCTTGAGTTTGCCCTTGTCATCCCCGCATTTGTCAGTACTCCTCTGCTTATTTTCAGACTCTGCTTATTTTCAGAGACTTTCTAGGCTCCTTTGAATAATCAACCAAGCTTTCGGCAACTGCGATGGCAGTGGCAAGATCTTGCACTCCTCGCCTCCTAAGCTCGGTCTTTGCCCAATATTGGAGCCCATCCATGAAGTTGAAGAGAGCATATTTGTTTGACATATTGGGGATTTCAAGAATCAAGCTTGTAAATTCTCCAATGTAGTCTTGAATCAAACCTTCTTGCTTAAGCCTTAGCAGTCGGGCTCGGGCCTCATCATCGGCATTCTCGGGATAGAACTGTCTCTTTAGCTCTCTCTTGAAGTCATTAAAAGTGGACATGGAGCACAAAGCTTTCTCTACATCTCCTTTTTTTATTCTCCACCAAAGCATAGCGATGTCTGAGAGATAAAGAGAAGCAACTTGTATTTTTGCATCTTCATCGGCAATCCCCATTCATCGGCAATCCCCATCGCTCTCATCGCTCTAAAGTATTGCTCTAGTCCCCATATGAAGTTATCTACTTCCCTCGTTTTGTGAATACCTTACAAACTCATAGGTTTTGGAACTTCAATCCTTCTGGCTTCGAAAGTGGGATGGCTTGTGGATGACGCGAGTGCCTTTTTGCACAACAAAATGTCCCCACACATTTCCTCCAAGCTAGCACGCATGTCACTCATCTCTTCCTTATAGGCACTTTGCACCTCTTGGAGCTTCCCTATAAAATCCTCCCGCAACTTAGCCACTTGGCCCATTAAGGTCTCCTCAAGTTGGAGAATCATACCTTTGATTATTGAATGGATGGTGACGTCATCCTCCTCGAGTCCATCAACCTTTTGGCCAAGTTCCTCTACTTGGCCCTCCATGCCATTCATTGCCTCCTCCATCCGAGCAAGGCGTGAATCAAAGCTATGCATGATCTCCTTAGACATCCCATGTGGCTTGGGTGCAACGGGGTCCCTTTGCTCCTGGCGACCTCGTCCTTGAGATGACTCCACATTAGTGGCTTCCGACTCCATCACGTGCTCCTTGACGTTTTTCGCCATTCCCTCAAACCAAAGCTCTGATACCAATTGTCACGGACTAACTTTCCTCAAGTCACCCGTGCGGCTTTAGCGCTCTTTCTTAGCACAAAATTAACCTTACCCCTCACAACACTGGACTTATGAGCCCCAAGCACTCTTAAGAAGAATAATAGAGAGAAATGAATACTTTGCACTTGAATACTTGAATGCTTTTGATTCAATGCTTGGGTGATTACAAATGAGGGGAGGGGCTCTTATTTATAGCCTCCTCCATATCTTTGGCCTTACAACTAGCCAATGTGGGACTATTTCATGTCCAAGAGAAGCTTCTTGATTACAATATAATATTCTATCTTCTAAACCATTCTTATGTACATACATAACTCTAGAACATTCTAGGTTATTCTTAAATTCTCTTTAGAGCTTTTCCTTCTTGCTCTCTTTGGAATGTAGTGGAATCTTCTAGGCCCCTTTGATGACTCTCGACAATCTGACCTTCTCTAGAATCTTCCATCCTGTGCTTGTCTTGCCGATTTCTCGAATATGGCGGAGCGTGACATGCTACTGCCTTAGTGCTTAGTCATATGATTTAGGGGAGGCATCAACCAAGCATCCAATGCATTCTCAAACTAAGTTTGAAAAGGCGTGCACCTTGATGCAATGATAGAGAGCCGTTACTCAAATGTCTCAGAAATACTTGAATTTTGTTTTAATTTTTTTTTCTTTCTTTGTGACATATTTTACACAAATTGTGCTTAATCATTTTCCGTTGATATTAGTTTTTAAAGTTTTGAGTGCTATTTTTGAATCCTTTTTGGATAATCATAAAAGGCAACATGTCCCGTCCCTATTCAATCTTTTTTTGAATCCAAATTTGTTTTCTTTTAATACATTCATTTCATAACCGTTGGTTGATCCATATTGTATGATATTTATAATAGTGGTCTATTATACTTTATTGTCAATACTGTCATTGTTGATTTATAATGAGATACTTTGTTGTCGTTTTCAGGTTAGGTACCAAATTCTATCAAATCATGAATGTATAATGTTTTTACATTTCCCTTTAATTTTTTAAATAATTATTATTGAAAGTTAGGTCTTTATCTATTGCTCTGTTTATTATTTTTTGTGGATCTATTTTTTGATTTTATTTTCAATGAACGAGTCTTTTTATAAACTTATGTGATAGATCTTTTTTTTTTTTGAATGTTCAAATGCATATTTTTCTGGCTATAACGAATACCACTAAGATTTGATGGATAATTTGAAAGATCTATAGAGCTACATCAAATGTTTCGTGCAATAATTCTTTTGAAGTTAGTGCTTATTATTCCAAAGATATTCTAATATTTGTAAATCTGGAAAATAGTTCATCTATTTTACCATATTTTAGAACCATTTTTGTATGGAGAACAATTGGGCCAGATCTTCTGACCAAAATTTGGCTAGAGTTTGTTTTGAGCGGAGTGCAATATATAGACATCAATGAATTTATATATTGCTCTTATCTCAAAGTATGTCAAAAAATTTTGAAACCCTTCATATCCAAATTTTGGTCATGATATCATCTCCCAATGTTTTTCATCATACCCTAATGTTCATCCATATTTTGACCAATGCTAACATTTCTGTATGAATTTTCATCTGATACTTTAAGCTAAGAGGTTTCTAATAAGACAGTAGAGTTCCACAAGGTGTTTGCCTACTGGCTCTTTGAGAATTTATCTTTTGCTTTAGTTTTTGTATGCATTAATCCCTTCACAGAATAAAAGAACCATGCACTTCGTATAGCTTTTATTGTTTTTTATAAAATTTAGATGTTCATACTAAGGTGAAATTAATTAAAAAAATATTGGAATTTTTGTGCTTTATTTGAACTTTTCAGTTTTTTTTTTTCTTGACATCTTTTAACCTTTTCACTTAATGTGGGATTTATATCTGATCTCATAATTCTCCGTTATGCTGATGCAGGGTGCACTGGATGGACCAAAAAATCATGAAGCATACTTGCTGTTTCCAGTTCATCTTGATGGAACTTTGCTAGACAATACTAAAATTATGCAGGAAAAAAAGGAGTTCTTTCCTGCAGTCACTGTTCTGCAGTTATTCAGACAAGTGCGTGCTAGTGGAAATTACTCTCTTATTGAATATAGTAATTGGTAAAAAATTTTTTAGAGCATATGCTATTCAGTGCTAGTGTTAGGGTCTTTCCTTAAAGTGGCATTGCTATGATCTAATCTAATTGTGCCAAAAAGTAGGCAAGGATTAACTAAGTTGTCACCTTGAGGTGCACACTACAATTGAATCCAATTGATTAACAGGATTGATATTTAATAATGAGCTTGGATATCACCCTTAGTAGTGTGCCACTGATGCAGACATTCCTCCCGTTCTTACTCCCCAAGGTTGATCTGAGACATGTGAAACGGTTTAGGAGAATTTTGTTCAAGCTATTCCAACCCCCATGGGCTGGCCCGCCCCCCGTAGGGCTTTATATTTACCTTGTTTAGATATTGTTAGGGGTTTGTTTTGATTCGGGACATATAAATATGTTGTTAATTTCTGGTTTGAAATTTTTGGTGTTTTTATTCATTTTTGTGATTGTTTCTATGTGATTTAGCCCTAATAAGTGCTGTATGATTTTCCTTGTAGAAGTGGTGTGTGTGTATCTTTTTCGAGACTAGTTGGTGGATCTTCCTTGACATTCATTCCGTCAATCATGACATTTCATTTTGCTTCCTACTGTCTTTCTTTAGGATAGTTGTAGGTTAAAGAAATGTGCCACCGCATAAATTTTGAAGATATTTATTTAGATAATCGAATACGATATTAAGACTAATATACTATTTCAAAAGATAGAAATATTATTCTATAATTGATTCAATCACTTCTTAAAGTTTTTAAAATTTATGGGTCCGTGTAAATTAAAGATTTTTTTCATATTTAATTTCGGTAAAACAAGCTTTATTTTATTATGGGGTATGTGTTCCTTATATGGGCAAGTTCTTATAATTAATTACACCTTAGAAGATATCTTCTCCTAAGAATATACATTTGTTTTGATATTGAGAAACTCAATAGTACTACAACATTCTAGTTAGGCTTTATATTTTTGAAATTAAGAATTGTTTTGATTTAAGTTATTTATTTTATTAGAAAGTTAGAATTTATATTATAATAACACGTGATTGTGAAAGAACCCAGGAGATTAGGACATGATTTTGCGAAATGATCTATATCCAAACTTAAATTATGATGAGAACTATTATAATAATAAAACTCAAACCTGTCTAGTGATATACAATTGATTTATTATATCCAATTCCACCAAGAACTGAAATAAGTCCGACTCTATAATCCCGCCTGGAAAGGTTAGAAGCTAAAACCACATAATCGTCTAACACTTATGAAGTCTAGTAAAATAAAAAGCTAGACAATACTATTATTTATTAGAAGAAAGTTGACTTTTACTAGCTTGCAATGCTTTTAGCTAATATAATATATTACAATTTATTAATTTTTTTTAATTTAGTTTGTTTTGACGGTCATGGTTACATAGCTAATCTATTTATATATATATGTTGAATTTTAGAGTTTGAAGATTAATCATAATTTTACATAAACTTCCCCAGGAAGGTTAGCAATCTTTGTTGGTAGATGCTTCCTTATGTATAATGGGTGAAATGTCGAAGGAAGGAAATAATTAACATACAAGTGCAAATGATTTAGTTACTTTAGGATTTCTAATGAATTTTATTGATTAATTTTTTCTGTGAGCTTGAATTGATTTTGTTATTTAAAATTTGATTTAATTTTAGTTTGAGTTGCTAAATTGGGGTATAAAAATTTTCTATGAGTCTATCATACAAAATTCAGGCCAAACACAATTATGTCAAGAAACCTAGAAAGAAACATGCTTTCTATGTGTACAATAAAAAATAAATACGAGCAAAAAAATTAAGCAAGCAACAACAACAACAACAAAACTTTTAATCGACTAAGTGGGGTCAGCTACATGAATCCTTTTTCTCCATTGTGTCCTATTGAGTGTCATATTTTCGTTTAAATCTAAAGATTAATATCACTTTTTTCTAGAACATGCCAAAGTTATTTTAGGTCTTCCTCTATCTTTCTTATCAAAAGTTAAATCTAAAACATCTACTCTCCTAATATGATCATCAGATAGTCGACGTCTTATATGACCATGCCATCTATGATGAATCTCTCTAATCTTGATTGCCGTTAGAGCTACACCAACCCTTTCACGGATATATTCGTTTTGCATTTTGTTTCTAAGGGTAAAGTTACTCATCTACCTAAGCATTCTTATCTCAGTAACAATTAATTTTATGCTTATTTTTAATAGGCTAATGTTCTACACCATAAAGCATTGCAAGTCTAACCACTATCTTATAAAATTTTTCTTAAAGTTTAAACTTTTCTATCAGATAATATGCCTGACACAATCCTCCACTTCAACTATCCAACTTGAATTCTACTAAATACATCCCCATCTGTATCACCACACCTTGAAAAATAGACCCGAGATATTTAAGATTTTTACTCTTTTTAATGACTTGATCACCGATTGTTACAACCGCACCACTAGATCTGCTACTAATGTACTTACATTCCATAGATTCAATTTTAGGTTTACTCAAACGAAAATCTTTAGACTCTAAAGTTAACCTTCATAATTTAAGTTTTTCCCCAACACTTTCTCTAGTGTTATCCACCATAAGAATATCATCCGTAAAAAACATACACCAAGATACACCAAGAATACACCAAGATACATCCTCCTGTAAATGTCTAGTAAGAACATCCATAACTAAAGCAAAAAATATGGACTTGATGTCGATCCCTGTTGTAATCCAACTGAATTTGGAAAATACTTGGTCAATCCTCTTGTTCGAATCCAAGTAACGACTATAATATACATATATTTAATAACTTAAATATAAGTAATATCAACATATTTCTTTTCTAGAGCTCTCCAAATTATTTCTATTGGTACCTTATCATAAGTTTTTCTAAATCAACTAAAATCATATGTAGATCCTCCTTACGCTCTTTGTACTTCTCCGTAAATCCTTTCAATAAATATATAACTTCCATAGTAAACTTTTTGACATGAATCCAAATTGGTTTTAAGAAACCTTTGTATCACGTCTTAACCCATGCTCAATTAGTCTCCCATAATTTTAATTTATGACATATTAATTAAATTCTTCTATCATTTGCACATTCTTGTGCATCATTTTTATTCTTGAAAATAGAAATCAAAATACTCTTCCTCCACTTCTCAGGCTTCTTTTTATTTTTAAACTTTTCCTGATAATTTCCATAGACGGCTGTCCCCACTGAAATTTCCCAATAAGAACAAATTTGAATTTGTCAGTCAGCGTTGAAATTTCTGACGTGGAGAATAAGAGTGTTTCCTTCCCACTTTTTCTGCTTGCATGCTTAATAAATGGACAATTATCTGTACCATCACGATGCTCCTTATAACTTGAAGGGAAGACAACCGCCGTCTCCCTCTGAGAATTACCCACCACGTGGGCAAAGGAGGAGGTTTTGTTAGGTTCAACTAAAGAAGAAGGAAGTTCCATCATAACAAACCAAAAACCTTGTAAGTCGTGCAGAGGCAAAAAAGACTAGCCGAAGAGTTGAGCAGGAACCATAGATGAAATGCGCAGAAGACAAAAGACAGGGCATGAAGTCACAGCTTGGCAGAAACTGCAGCTCGATCCGCGCAGGAAAGAACCGCAGAAGCTCAAAGGCTAGCTGGAAGGCGAGAAGGAGGAGACGACAAAACCGCAGAAGAAGACGCCGAAGCCCTTCGTCATTTGGCGTGAGAGAGCGTCGCCAAGTGTGGGAAACAACGTCGTCGTCGTCCAGCGCGGGAAACCTTGTCGTCGAGTCAGGAATCAAACCAAGGTTTCGCCTGACGACAGAGCGGATTGCCATCTCCAGGGTCGTCATATATATATATATATATATATATATATCTAGCTCTATATGTATGCATGCATGTATGTCGGCATGTATGTTACATATGTACGTGCGCGCGTGTGTGTTAAAATAAAATGATATTGGCTGATGATAAACACCAGATAAATAAATATTACTTTGAGAAATTACTAAATAAGAGATTAAAGAAAGATTTTTTTTTGAAAGAGCATGACAAATATTATGGTGAAATATATTATAGATTGATCTAAAATTAACTTGGGGCTGATAAATATAAAGCCTTTGATCTAGATGAGATATATTGTGATTTGAAAGTTCTTATGGTTGTTGCATTGATTTTTGGCGAACTAATAGTTTTATTAGAATTTTGAGGACTAAGATAATGCCAAATAATTGGAGAAGAAGTATTTGATATCAATGTTTAATAACAAAAATGTTGTTCAATATTGTGCTAACAATAGAGGAATAAGCCTTCCGAGTTATTCAACGAGGTTATGGTCCTGAGTAGTGGAATATAGATTCATAAAAATTGCATCAATTTTAGAGAATTAATTTATTTTCTTGCAAAAAAAAATTTGCTATAGAAGTGATTTTGGTGTTAAGACAATTGATGGTGAATTATTAAGTGTAAATAAAAGAACTTCATATAATCTTTACCGATCAATTTTTAATTTAATTTTTTAATTTGTATTTGTTTTTAATATAATCATTGTTGATCTTGGGAATGCATATTATTATCACATTAATTGATTTCCGATTTTTAAAGTAGAAACTTGTGTGATTTTATTAAAAAAAATGGAGTATTGACTAATATTAATAGTTATGATGTGACCCTAGAGTTTGCAATCACTATAGCTTTCTAAGAAGGATTAGCATTGCATTCATATCTTTTTGTATTGGTTATTGAGATGTTTATAAATACTATTGAAAGTAGTGTTCTTTGGTGCATGCTTTTGGCATATGACATCTAATAAAATCAATGAAAAATTAGAATTGTGGAGGAAATGTTTAGAATATAGGAGCCTTTTAATTAGTCGGACAAAGAACGAGTTTGTAATGTGTAATGTTACTTGGTATGATAGTAACAACTATCATTCAATATTTTTAGAAGATATGGTGATACATAGTTGTCAAAGACTTGGGTACTTTTGATCTATTAAATAAAATAATGATATGTAAATAATGATAGCATTTTTAGATTGAAGGCTGGATGATTAAAATAGAAAATTACCTCAAGATTTTATATGATAAGAGAATAACATGGATGCTTAAAGGCAAATTTTATGAAATCATATTTGTTCCAGTGATTTTATTGATCGGAATAATTGGCTTTAAATATGTCATAAGTGTGATGGAAATGTAAATGTTAACCTAGATGTGTGGCAAAATTAGGAACGATAAATTAAGGAATGATTATATTAGTGAAAATGTTGGAGAAACATTTGTGGAGGATGAGGTGGTTGAAAATAGACTTTGGTGGTTTAGACGTAATCTGCCTATCATTTGATAAAATTCATGTTTGAGGATTATGAATTAAAAAGGTTTAACATTGTATTAATAGAAGTTGTTCAATTTATATGTGATGAATAGATTTGAATTTCAGATAACCCTCAATAGGAACAATTTAGAAAAGAGGATTCTTCTTGTTGGCCCCTAATAGTTGGAATAAGTCAAATGATGATGAATTGATGATAAGATGTTATTGAAAAGCTCATTAGCAAGTGTTTTTCTCCACTGGATAATTTGTCTTTGTATTTGTGCTCTTTTGTTTCTATCCAAGTTGGTGAAGATGTTAAAATGAACATAAGTCTCTTCTCTAATGTTTTCATCCTTGCTTTGTTCTCCTTTTTTTTCACTAGCACGTGTTATTAATGTTGATTTGCTTGGATTATATATTCCATGCAGGTTGCTACTCTTATGCTTGACTGTATACCATGGTCAAGAAAGGTTCATGACTGGGAACATTGTTGGGCTGGGGAATGACTATTTGTAACAGGCAAGGGGACCATTGTTGGGATGATCATTAGGGGATAATACTCTGACATCAGTTGTGAAATAAGACTTGGTTCCTGATATACTAGTTGTGGTTCCTAGCCTTTGGTTTCAGCTGTTGAGTTGAAGGAATCTATCCATTTCTGTGTTAATCTTAACTCAGGCCCTTGATATTCCACCCTCCTAACAAAAGCCCCTTTAACGTTGCAGATATTTTTAAATGATTTAATACAAACTTCAAATTGTTGACCTCCTACTAATGTACTCATTGTCTATTTGAAGAGATAATAAGCACGATTATATTGCTATTTGGCATTTCATTTATGGTGAATGCAAATTTTAGTCCATATTACTGTATCATGGATGATGATATTGATTTGAAAGTTTGGAAAAAATGACACTTCATTCAGCAATTCGGCTAAAACTTTATACCGCAAAAATATAAAAATTCAAACTGCAAAGTAAGTTTTTAATCTATCATATGGGGAATGACACCTCTGAAGTTTGAATAACTAACACAACAGGCATGCTTAAACTAGGACTAGCTAGAAACGTATGAACAATGAAATATGCAGCATGCAGATTGGATAAGAATTTTCTTTCCCAGTATCATTTTTTCTAGATAATGTATAACAGTTCAGCATGCTCTAGTAATCATTCTAAATTTCATAATTATCAAAATAAATATTGCAGAAAGCTCGTTCCTATCGGGACAATAAATAGCTTTTGTTGAGCTACTCTTCTTCATCTGTATTAGACATGATTTTCAAGGTGAGCTTATAGTCAATGCCATCTTTTACCAGCTGTGTGCAGGATTGAAGCATATGCACAATTTTGAACCGCCATATGCTCATAATGATGTCAAACCTGGAAATGTTCTCCTAACAAAAAGAAAGGGACAACCTCCTGTTGCTATTTTAATGGATTTTGGAAGTGCGCAGCCTGCTAGAAAGCAAATTTGTTCACGTTCTGAGGCGTTGCAGTTGCAGGTACTTTTGCTATTCCTTATTAAACTTGCATTTAGCACAATTCACACATATGATTGTTTATCTAGATTGGACCTTTAATTTTCTTGACTTTGAATTTCACTGGATATAATGAGAAATTGTTACTTTCCAGTCAGGTAGCTGCATTAGTTCTTGTTCCTTATATTATTTCTTTCAGTATTTTTCAAAGACTTTCCTGCAGATAACTTATGATGGATCACTTATAAGAATGATTTTGTTGAAGTGAATTGAGGCACTAGAATTTAATTGTTCTTGTCAATACATGAGAGTACTAGGGCCAAAATCTTTTTGTCAACAATTTAAATGTTTGTTTTAGTGGTTTGAATAAGTTGTCTTGTTTTCCGTGACTGACCATATATTTTTGTTGTAATATCACAGTTACAGAAGTTTTAGAATTACACCTTTTTTAACTTGAATTGAATTGCTTTTTCGGTAATATTACCTTTGAATTATATCAAGTGTCATCTCCATGTGTAATATCTTTTTATTCTGATGTTGGTTTTTTAGCCTTTGAAGACATAAGAGTTTTTTAGCCTTTGAAGATTTTGGAGTTTAGTAAGAGAGCCAGAAATGATCATGCACGATTTCTTGGTTTGAGAATATAATTTAATGATCGGTCAAGTTGGATTGAGTTATCTGTGAATCTGAGTCTTGATTAGCTGCTGATGTTAAACGGTGAGCATATTAATTGAAAATTTTTAATATTTTCTTCAGTCACTATGCAATTCTGCCGGTTCCCAAAAACTTCTGAATATGTATCTCTTAAGCCCGTTTGAATGACAAGTCCTACCACACCCTATCCATTCCTACAACAATTTCTATTCATAACTCTAAATTTTTAAAATCTAACATTTCTATGTCCATAAAAAATTAACTTTGACACCTACCATCAAAATTTAAGCCACCAACTAACCTTTGGTTTGCAATATGTCTGCCGAAATCCTAATCGAGAGAAAAAGACATCATCCCATTACGGAAAAACACTCGATGAGTTATTTAGGAGATCACTATGGAGGATATGCAGTGAGAAATCCTCCAGCTGCAACAAAGCCTTGTCACCTTTGAGAGGAGAAGACTTAGGGTCTGTTTGGGGCAGCTGTTAAGGGCAGCTGTTAATTATTTATATTTATAATCTGCTGATAAAGAGATTATTCTGATAATCTGACTTGCTGCAGATTATCAGAATAAGCTGACTTGCTGCAGATTATCAAAATAAGCTGACTTGCTGCAGATTATCAGAATAAGCTGACTTGCTCCAACTAACCTTTGGTTTGCAATATGTAGCCCCCTAGCGTCGGATATCCAGCATCTCTCAAATAATATTTTCCTGTTATGAAATACAATATTAATTAAAAATTAGAAAATGAAGTACATGCATCAGGATATTATAAAATTATAAGTGCATTAGGATGAAATAATTTATGAAAAAGTGGTGACAACAAAATGAAACATTAGTATGAAATACATATAGTGAAGAAAGCATCAAGAAAATGACATAAATGAAATACATAATATCAGGAAATGAAGTACATAAGTTGAAATACGAAACATCAGAAAATGAAGTACATCAAATGAAATACAAAGCAGCCGGAAATGAAGTACATAAAATGAAATACATCTAATGGCAGGTTAATACAAAATAGTCTCATTCTTCTACTGAAACACGTAAATATTCAATGCGCAGCTCGGGCCGTATGGCCATGAACATTTGTCTACGAGTAGGGTCCTCAAGTTTTTTAATACATTTTGCCTGAAAACGCATATCAACAACTATTTCTGGAATAGTGTCTAAAATGGCAACACAGTCATATCAACAACTACTTCTGGAATAGTGTCTAAAATGGCAACACAGTCTCAGCTGATGCTGTCTGGGGGAGGTGAGCTAAAAAAACAACAATTAGTTCATGAAATGAGCTTTTTAGAAAACTATCCTTCTCTTTCTTCATCCTGCCAAGCCTAGGCCTTTTGGACATGAAACTGGGAACTAGACTCTCCCATCTCTTTTTGGTTAATACTAGGCCCTTCTTCATCAGCTATGACCTGTTCAGGTGACAAGTCATTTGTTATTCTTGAAAATCCCAATTCACTTGGGTTGAATGCATTCTTACCAGTCGCGATAACCCCCTTAAACATTATGCCCAGTTTTTCCTCGAATTCTAGCTCAATTCTGCACTGCCTATATTTTTTGGCAGTTGACATTACCTGAAACATAAGACATTTATTAGAGGGGATTAGGCATTAATCAAAAAATAATGAAAGTAACAAAATAAGTTTGTATTTATTACCTCCAATCTTTTAGACCACCATTCTTCGGGAGCATTGATAGTTGGTTTAATGGGATCCCAACCCAATCCGGTCGATCCACGTTTCAGCTTCTTCCATATTTTCCATTCTTTTTTCAATTGGTCCCATTTGTTTTTGAATTTAAGTCTGTCGTAATCTTTTTCTTAGCAATATTTTGCCAACCTTTCTTATTAAAATACGTGGTTGGTCTGTTCCCCAGTTCAATTTCCTTAATACATAGATTGCAAAATATATTTGTAATTTATTTATCCCAAATTTCGGAGGGACCCCCTTCAGTCGCCTTAGACATTGAACTCTAGGGAACAAATGAACATCAGTTCCTTTTCCTTAATACATAGATTGCAAAATATATTTGTAATTTATTTATCCCAAATTTCGGAGGGACCCCCTTCAGTCGCCTTAGACATTGAACTCTAGGGAACAAATGAACATCAGTTCCTTAACCTATGAAATTATCCTTTGCAATTTCAAAAAAATAACATATTATAAATAAACACCGACAACCAACATCATTTCCACAACGTTTCAATTTACAAATAAAAAAAAAACAAGTAAATAAGAGATTTATGTGGTTCGACCAATGACCTACATCCACAGAAGGCAATCCACGAAATTTTTATTAAGAAAATTTGTAAGATTACATAGCTACGAATAAGCTCTCAAATATGTAAGCTTACTATAACATGCTCTCAACTAACAAACTCCATACATATAACACTCGGCCAGCCTTAAAAAAAAAAGGAAACCGAAAATTGAATTTTGAAGGATTTTTTCTGTGTGCAATTTCAAGAGGAGTGTCGAATGCAATCCAGCAAGCAACAGGGCTGGCAAATGATTGAAGATAAAGGAACATGCGTACCCCAACATCTCTTCCAGATAAACTTGCCAAGTTTCATAAACTTCTTTTTTGGTAATGAAGAAACGACTTATAACACTTCATAGGAACCATCAACATCAAAGGGAGAACACCACAACATGCAATTCTTCCTCCCTTTTCTCCCTTTGGTGATAATAAAAGTCCACCAACTAACAAATAAGAATACAATTACAAGAAGAGGACGGGGATAATGAGGATGAGGCTTTTCATGTATGCTAAAAACCGAATGTCATTTGAAAGCCTAACATAAAGCACAAAGTCTCGCATATGCATATGAACAATAAACCGCATATGAACAATAAACAATAAACCAAAAGCAGGTACAACCAGTAAATTCGGATCCTTGTATCGGAAAGACCAAGCAATCATTAGTAGATCCCTGTATCGGAAAGATCAAGCAAACATTGTCATTATGTATTGTACTTAACTCCCTAATGCTATAACCATTGTCATTGTTAACATAAACCGAAAGATAAGAGTATGGAATCCTTTCAATGGCAAGGTAGATATGGGTTTGAAACATTAGAAATACAAGTTATTAAGCTAGCACAGGAGAATAAACAATATCGTAATAATTTGAGATGCATTTTCATGAACCAAGCCTCAATCTTCAATTATATAACCAAATCAATTTTCTTAGCTTGCATCAAAGTCATAATCCATACTAAGGACGATGGCATTTGCCACCAATGGGGATTGCAATGAATAAATATATATGCAGCACATAAACAGTAATTAATAGCAACATTTTCATGAACCAAGCTCATACCTATGTTTCCTAAAAACAGGAATTAATTGCAGCTCCTATAAATAGGAATTAATTGCGGAATTAATTGCAGCTCTTAAGCATTTTCATGAACCAAGCAGCATTATTCCTCACTCTATGAAAAAGTACTTGCTTTTCCAATTGAAATAATAAGAAGAAGAGTAAAGATATTGTTCTTCGGTCATGAAACAACAGATAAAAATCGAAACGAGCAGTAAAAATCAAAACGAAATTCGGCCCCGATATAAGGAATTCATTCCAAACTTTTCTTCACGCTCAGCAAAAAACGAAATAAATTCTAGGGAAAAGAATCATTCAACATTGTTCGAGTTCAAAATAAAATGAAGAAGACGAAAATCTTTGGTCAAGGAAGAAAAAAAAACAAGGCTTGCGGTCTGATCTCCACAAAGAGCAAAGAACCATTCACACCAAAATAAAACGACGTTCGATCATCTACAAAGAATCATTCACGCCCACCGATGTTCGATCGCTCTAGAGGTTGCATTCCTTACGAATTAACGGTGAGGGAAAACATACCTTGCGAATCAGAAAGAAAAATCGAAAGGAATACGGTCCGATCTTCTCTAGAGTGACGAATCCAGGGAGGGAGAGCGCGAGGGCGAACGGGGGTAACTAGGGTAATGTTACAAGCTGAACATGGGACGCAGGTCTTCGCCCGCGTCAAAGGCCCTTAAAAAATTCTGATAAGCCAACGCACTGCGGCAGGGGATAATCCGCACGAACGTGACTTCCAAACACTAATGCGGCATTTTGAAAACGCCGCCGCACCTAAATAAGCTGCCCCAAACGGGCCCTTAGAGAGGTCACTCATAGCCACTCTGGTGACTTGCCTGATCGAGAAGAGGAAATGAACCTCTTTCACCATGAAGTTTTCAATGATGGAGTAATACGTTGATGATTTGGTATGGAATATCTTTGATAAAGGTGGATTTATTGGATTTTGATGTCGCATGTGTCACACCTCAAGTTTGGAAGGTGGTACACCACAACAATGTAGAGTTTGATGAAATGAAT